GTGTGTGAGGTGTTTGAATAATTACTGAGCCAATGTGAGAGATTTGTAAACAAGAACCATCCCCAATAACGATTTCTTATGTCCCATCGTATGGCGCATGGATGAACAAGTTATTTAGATCGTTTGTGGCATGGAAGTTGGCACCACTGTCGAAGAGCCAATTTGCTGTGCTGGGAGAGTTCATTTGTTGTGGAGACATTGTGTGAACCTGTGCATTAGTAACTTGCAAATTATGATTGTATGGAGGTACAGATACTGTGGGAAAAAAGGTTTTAAAGGTATTGCAATTGCTAAGAGCATGTCCTTTTTTATGACACCACTGACATTTTCCCAAGAATGGTCTCTGTGTTGCAGGTGGAGAGGTTTGTTTGGGTGTGGGCAATAGACCAGGAGTTGTGTTGTTGTGTCATGGTGTCCATAGTTTGTGAGTTTGTTGATGATTTGCATAGAAGGCGGTGACTGGTTGGTGGATAGTTGCGGATGAGACTTGTTGGGCAAGGGTTAATTCATGATGGATCAACTTTTCATGGAGTTCATTGAATGTGATTGGTGAGTCTCTAGCATGAATGACGTCTAGAATTGGCTTGTATGCAGAAGGATCTAGTCCGTTGATGACAACATCAGTGATGTCTTCCTGATCAAGCTTTTTGCCAAGAATCGCAAGTTCATCAACTACGGTCTTGATGTTTTGCATATATTCGGTGATGGTTTGATTTGAGGTTTTTGTGATGTGTTTGAGGCGGTGTTGAAGTTGCTTAATATGTCCTCGTGACGGTGAGGCATAAGTGTTAGCTAGGGTTTTCCATGCATCTTGAGAAGATGATGCATTTGTTATCAGAGGAACAATTGGGGGGGGGGGGGGGGGAAGACTGCCAACAAGTGCGCCAAACAAGAGCCTGTCTTGCCGGAACCACTTGGAGTAATCGGCATGAGGTGAGATTGTCCCATCAGGTACGACAATTAGTGATGGAGGGGGGTGCATTCCATTGATAAATTTGTAAAGATCAAGACCATGGAGAAGGGCTTCGATCTGTGTCTTCCATCCAAAGTAATTTGTGGATGTAAGTTTTAGGGTAGAAGGAAAATTGACGATGGTTAGATTGTCTTTGGAAGTGGTATTGACAATCAGAGATGTGTTTGTGCTTGATTCTGCAATAGGCGTTGCGCCTGACATTTTGGAAGTGTCAATGATATGAGCCGAAGCTCTGATACCATATAAACAGAAGATAAGGAGATCTGGAGAATATTTTCTGTATTGATTTTGAATGAATAAAATGCACGGTATAAATAATACAATTGTAGAGCTAACTTATGAGGAAAATAAGGAAAGATAATAACAACATATTGACTGCATATTAAACATGTGAATAATAAAACTTGGCGGGAATGATCTTGACAGCTCATCTCTTAATACTATTTAAACACGCAAACCGTTCTTGTAAAAAAAATACATAGGAACATTTTCTGTAAATTACAGAGACAAATTTTATAATTTATTTTCTACACATAAAAAATGGATAGGGATATTTTCTAATAATTTTTTAATTTACTTTCTATATAGGGACAAGCCTGCAATATACAAAATAATTGTGGCAAAAGTCTAACGACAAAAACTATTGTGGCAAAAATATAAAATACAAAAATATACGATTCATATATGGGTTGCTTTATATTATATATAATAATTTGGTCCTAATCTATATAAATATGATTATTTTATCGATTATCTACTGCTTTTTATTAATTTTATTATTTCTATTAATATTTTTATTAATTTTATTATTTCCATAAAGATTAGGCTTCTATTGATAGCATAGAGTTTGATCATGGATTGGTTTTACTATATAAGGTTGTGAGGAGTAGGCTTGGCATGCGTTGAATCAACTATGCAAAATTGCAAACACCACCTCTCTGCCTTGACATGTGGAGAAAATAGTCTAAGTTGAAAAGGGGTTGTCTTTGGGTTTGGTGTTTGGCTGAGGTGGTTTTGCAGAAAATAAGATGCCAGAAAATAAGAAAATAAAGGGTCTATGTGTCCGGCGTAAATTTCCGTACCAAATGGGAATCTATACAAGAATCCAAGTTGAATCGAGAATCTTCAAGTTGACCAAGAATGAAAATAAAAAATGAAAAATCTCAAATGAAACACACCGAAGGGGATACAAGGTTTCCCATCCAACGGAACGTTTTGATCTATACGTACGCCAATATGACAAGAAAAAAAGTAGACATTAGATACGCTTTTTGTAAATCAATCATCACATAATTGTGTCGTGGCTGTGGGCGATCACAACAGATACCTGATTTGTGATGTCTTGCAGGTCATACCAAAGTGGGAACCGTGTTATAGCACCTTCTTTGCTCGAATAATGAACGATAACACGATATTTGTTAGCAGTGAAAAACACAATGTCTGACATAATCCACCAATATTCATATGTCGCATAACTCGGTCCAGTGAAATTCAACGAATGACTCATTGCGTTAAAATATTCATCGTAAATCATTACGTACTTTCCAATGTGTGTTATTAGATCGTTGTATAAATTTGACCGAATCTAATGCTAATATTCATCACTATAACCAAGAGAAATAATAATAGCCCAAAAACCACAATTTCCACTCCTTTTACATCTTTCCATTCAAACTTTGTTTTGCGCATTGTAAATTGTTTTTTTATAGATACGTTGTTCTCATTTCGACTCTTCAACGTCGATAGAATGTCACGTGGGGAGACATTGTTCTTTCTCAATTCTGCAACCATTTGTAATTCATTTTGAGTCGACCGTCTTTATTGTGAAAACTATTCATTGTCTATATATGGTTTTAGATGTGTATAGAATGGTGAAAGCCTATGGTTTGATAAAAATCTTTTTATCAGAGTTTGATCAATGGTAAAACCTTTGATTTGTATCGTCATTCGATTCATTTATTTTTATAAGATGAAATTTGATTGTCAATTATATACCCATGAGTAATAAAATGTCATTTATATAAATTGTCCGTGATATAAAGGGATGAGTGATGAATGGTGAAAGCTTTTGATTCGTATTATAAAGGGATGAGTGATGAATGATGAAAGCCTTTGATTCGTATTGTTATTTGATTCGTACTTTTTACTTTTTAATACTTTGCAACAACAATAATTATTGGAAAAAAAAGATTAATATTAGTGATAAACAAATAAATAAATAAATTTAAAAAAAACACTGATATTAGAAGATAATTAGATAATTAGAGGTTAATTAAGGATTTTGGAAGTGTATAATAGCACCATCATACATTTCTGATTTATGTTGTAACCTATATAATCCGAGTATCACGAGGCTTTGCAGATCTTCTTGGTCCCTTCTGTTTGCGCCGTGCAGACATTAGGCTTCGCAGACTGTTTGTTTTTTTGAAGACTGCAGACCTAAAAAGGTCTACGCGTCCTCTTCTTGTCGCAGACATGGACCAGAGTTTTTAGACAACTTCTAGCCTAAAAAAACACATATATCTTGGTTTTTTTTTAACTTAGATTTATTCCAACTTTATCTATGATAAACAATTTTTAATGAAAAAGTTCCAATATTTGAAGAAGAAAGGCCCGCGACACAATCATTATATTTGTGACAAATTTATAAATAAAAATTTAATTACAATAATGATATTGGAAGCTGTTTATATAGATATTGTTTATATAGATATCAAAAAAAAATCCTAATATTATCTTACATTTTTTGTGTTAATTTTTATAAAATATTATTTAATACAATATCATTCATTTCTTGGGAAAAAATATTTATGTTTAGTTTTTAATTGATTTAATTAAAAAAGTAAAAATAAAAGTGGCACCTTTTTTGTCAATTTTGGTCCTCCAACTTACAACATTGACCCTCCATTTTTATGTTTTTGTTCACAAACAACCCTTTCACTTTGGTTTGAATTTTTCATAACCTTCGTCTTTTATTACATATTATTAGTATTTAGTCTTTTGGCAGAAATGGTCCCTCATCATTATTATCATTATTGTTAGACAAAATTACACTATTGGTCCCTGTGGTTTACCAGATTTAAAATTCTCTTTTTGGTTTTAAATTAATGTTTTATTTATTAGAAAATACTCATCCAATACCATAAACCCACCCACCATCTGCCATCACCACCACCACCACCGCCGCCAAAATTACATAAATGGTCCATATGGTTTACCCATGGTGACAAATTCAGTCCCTACTACCTGAAAAGACCAAATTACCCTCACATTAACGGACAAAAAGCAACCAACATGCTACTTTACTTTACAAAGCAATACCTTCCGACCCCGGCAACGCCGGGGAATCTTTTCTAGTTTAAAATCAAAATTTATTTTCATCAGTGTGTTAAAATTCTTTTATTCTAATTACAATGTTTAGGTATAACTTTACAACCACAATTTGTTGGTTTTTATCAAATATATACTTTAATTCGTACCATTTTATTTCATATTTTATACAATAATACATAAAAATTGATCTATATTTGTTATTTATTTATAATAAAGTCATAAAATTATTAAAAAAATTCTAAGTTTTTTTAAAAAAATCAGTTTATTTAGATTTTAGTTTATTGCAGATGTTAAAAAACATTCTTCTACATTTAGACTGCAAATGTTTGATCCACCTATTCTACTGCAGATGTCAACAGATCTGGTCCGCAGATTGCAAACATTTTGCCTCGGAGAAAACAAACAGCGTCTAAGACCCGATTGAAGCTTCCAATTCAATCTTATGTTTATAAACATAAAATAGTTAAATAAACAAAAAAAGCAGTATATAATTTTCATACAATCTCTTAATTTAGGTAGAAAAATGAACAAAGCAACTTTATAATTTCGTAAACAAAAACCGTACCATTACCATTAAAAGAGACTTGGTCCACTCACACTGTATCTGACCCTGACCCATCAAGGCCATCATAAACCTAAAACCAAGTAAGCATCATAAAGCAAAATTTTAAATTAAAAAAAAAAAAAAAAAAAAAGACCCCATTTCTTTGTAGCAACCCGTAAGCAGACGACACGTGTCACATTTACATCACACTGAAAAACTTATGTACCAGTAATCTCCCTACTATCCATTTTCATTCTTTTTGCAGTTTGTGCTTCCGGCATACTCACTCTCTGTTGTGAAGTAGAAGAAGAAATAGAAGAAGAAGAATCATGTTGATAAATGCAATTCGCTCCATGCCTACACCCCCTCGTGCTATTATAATAGATACACGTTTTCATCACTTTCCCTTTCGTTTTCACATTATTTCCATTATTCATCTGTTCACCTTTTTCTCCACCATGCTGCTGAATCAAGCTCTTGTAATAACTTAAATCCTTCTTCGCCGGACCACTCACCCCCACCTCCGCCGGCGCCGGCGGCAGACCGGAAACCGAAACCGCTCCACCGCCTGATCTTGGCGGTTGTGGATAAAGCGAGCCACCGGAAGAAGAAGACGGCGGTTGGGTCGTGGTGGTGGTGGTGGCGGTGATTGGCGGCAGTGGTGGTCCGTGGGAGGAGACGAGTTTTTCAATTAGAGTTGGTGTGCTGAGGATTTTAATGAGTAAATTAGGATCAATTAGGTTTCCTTGACTGCTTGACATTGCAGTAGTTAAGGCATTATAGGCTGCGTTCATTACATCCGGTTCGATGCCAGGTGGCGCCATCCCATTGGACATGACACTTGTCGGAATGTGATTTGTTGTTGTTGTTGTTGGTGGTGGTGGGATTGATGACGTGGCGGGTGACGTGTCTTCGTCTTCAATTGGAGTGATGGGGATGAGAGGAGTGTGGTGGTCGTTGTTGTATGGTGAGTTGTCTGTGTGGATTGGTGATGCCGGACTGAAAAAAAAAAAAAAAAAAGGATTTTGGTGAGGGAGTGAAGTTGTAAGAAAATGAAAGTAGAGGGGGTGTTTGTGTAACTTACTTTGGAGGGATCGCTGATGGGCGTGGGTAGACTGCTTCGAGTATTCTCATTTCACGTTGACTTTCAAAGTCAACTTCTTTGCTTTCTTCTCCCGCTGTTACTTGCCAATTGGGATCCAGAATGAACTGTGATAATTAATTAATTATAGATTATTTTAATATAATTAAGTTTTTAAAAAAAACCTAAATAAAAATATATAGTTTCTAGTTATTTTTAGAAAATAAATTTGTAAACTAACTAAAATTCTGATGGAATCTTAAAGGATTTGAATGTGAGATTACATCATGAGAAAAGTTTTATTGTCAAAAGGAAGGAATTGGATTCCTTAAAATTCTGTATTTGATTGATTTGGTCATTCCTTAGGGAATTAAGATTCCATCATCTTTATAAATAAAAAGACATAAACTCGATATAATTAAATAACAAATTTAACTATAATTAATTATTATTATTATTAACATTATTTTATTTAAAGAATATATGTTAAAAATTATTTTTATTATGCTAATGTCCTTATGTAAATAAAGACTACATGTATTCTATAATAATTATTATTAATAACAAAATGCTAGTTCCATTTATCTTCATACTAATGAATATCAAGGAAGGATAACTTTGTCATTTGTTATTATTAAATATTGTCATATTGACATTCTAAATTCCAATCCATTTTTTGTCATCCAAACTAGAGACAGATTTGAATTCCTTCAAATTCTAATTCATTTGAATTCAATTCCAAAGATTCCAATTCCCTAAAATTTATAGAAATGACTTACTCTAGAAGGGCATTTCCATTGTATGAGAGTAATTTGAGATAACTTATTCTGAAACAAATTTGCAGGCTGAATTCCTTCAAATCCAGGTGGCAAATTGTCATCAGAATGCCATGATTCTTTAGCTTGAAGATGATCTTGACCACTTAATCCCACTTGTGAAGGAGATTCATCTGATAAAAACAGCTTCACCTGTAATTCAACAATAGTGTTAGTCAATAAATCAACCAACTAATCCATGTTTCACTTAATAAGATGATTGTTCAGCTCTTTTCATAAATACTATCAATCATACAAATGAAATATGAGATGTATCACAATGCAAAATAGGACACTAACATAGAACAAGAACAATATAATGCTCTCTAGTTTTCTTAACTTCTCAATGCAAAACAAGAGAAATGATCCATTTCTACATGCTAAAAACATGGTTCAAAAGTTATTCTCAGAAGCACGAAAGAACTTCTATTCACCAAGTTAAAAAGGAATATTGAATACAGATACTTGTGATTGAAGAGAAAAATAAATAGGCATATAGAAACATCTTCATTATCTAAACAGAATTCATGTAAACTAAGCTTGATAAATAGGTTTTTGGAGAATAAGATCACCATTCACCTCTTTCCAGACTATAAAAGTACAGTCTAAGAAATAAGAGCTTATAAATGTCATTACAAAGCATTCTCAATACCATGAAAACAATATAAACACTTCTAGCAATAAACTAATCCAACAAAATATTTTGCAAGCATCTAAATGCAGAAAACTAACTTATCCAAATAGCTTCACATCACACTGAAAGAACCACATTTAAAATTTGGTGTCAAACATGGTATTCTAATACTGCAATCCATATGATTTTAGTTGGAAACTCAACAGCATCATTTTCTTATTTAGTATTATAAGTTTAGGTTGTAATATGAATATTCAAGTTGAAAGGTCGCCTATTTGACATCAAGAGTCAAAATGCAGCTCAGTTATGGAATGCGGAAGTAATGTATAGTCCAGCAAATCCCCCAAATTCTCATTTAGATATCATCAGCTATAACCGGATATAAACCGAGTATAATCACAGCTGCATGTATAAATCGAAACCATTTTTACCACGTATATTACGTATACCTGATAAAGATTTAAATCTGACGCCCATGAAACCCTTTTTGATTTCTGCAATCCTCGCATGTTTAATAAAACAAATATAACAAATTCGATTTCCCCAAAATGGATGTTGTTTTTTGCAAGGATTAGACAACACTGATCCGCGGCGACAAGATTAAGGGATTCCAGTAAACTGAAAACCCTAAATTTACTTAATTTTTTCTTCTTCTAAAACCCTTAATTGACTAACTTGTACACGAACGTTTTAACGTAATCGCGTGAATCTAAGAGCACGGTGGTTTTGATTTAGGGATTTTGAGGTGGATTGATGAGGGCGGCGACAGGTTGTGATGGGCGGAAGACGGTGACGATGGTTGAATGCTAGGTCAAGAGAGAGAAAGGGAAAGGATATATACGCTTTTTAGGCCCTGATGAATACAAAGAAACGTATTTGAGATCGAGAGTCGGATTTCGATCAAGATTTTGACGGAATCGCTTACATCATCCCTCAACTAGTTCTCAACTTTACGTTTGGTCCCTCATAGTTTCCTTCAAAGTTCAAACTTTTATTTATTTTGTTTAAAAATTTATATTATCTATGTTTTTTATCTTTTAAAAAGTCATGTTACATTTTTATATAAAATTCGAATATAAATATATCTACTACCTTTTTTTTTAAAAGTTTTCAAGATTGAGAACAAAATTATTTTATGTTTTTCAAGAATTTAAGGTTATAAACCAACGTACCAAACATTTGGTAAACTCTATTAGAATCGTTTGACAGGAAGTTCAGTTATTTAATATAGAAACAAACATGAACAAAATGTTTTGTTCATATTTATGAACATTTCGTTTATCTTCTCGTTCATTTATGTTTGTTTGTCTATTATGGGTGTTAACATTTTGTCTCATAATATATGGTGATTTTGTATGATAGAGATTAAGTTTTATAAGTTTGAAATTCTGATAAGATATAAAGATTCGATGAGGCTAAAATGTGGAACTTTTCAAGTTTGATTTTTTCGGAAAGATATTTGGATGAAGATGATATTTAGACTTTAGTTTTTAGCTATTTTTTGGATATTGGATGTTTTATTTTCTTGTATTTATGTGTAATTCTTTTATTTATGCATGGTAACTCGTTTGTATGTCTATGTTATTTATGTTCGTTTATGTTTATTGTTTTTTCTTTGTTTATGATCATATATGTTTCGTTAGTGCTTGTTCATCTATGTTCGTTTATGTTTGTTTAACGTCTTAATGAACAAACACAAAAAAACACAAACAATGTCATTTTTATACACATAATGTGTTTGTTTATGTGTTCATGTTCGTTTGTTAGTTTTGTTAAACTTAAACAGACAAACATCAACAAGCCTTGTTCGTATTTGTTTGGTTCGTTTACATACCTAACGATATTGTGATTGTAATATCATACTGATATTGGAAGATCCTAACAATATAAACTAGTCTTCAAATTTTCTCGTAAGGTCCTATTTGTGCATTGCCCGTTACAGCTTCAACGGAAGTTTGACTTTTTTTTTTTTTAACGGTGTTATTATTATAAAAAAAGAAAGACTAGAAGGAAACTAGTCTACCAAAAAAATGAGAACATCAAGAAATAGCGATAATCGGGTTTTGCACCCAACCAACCCAATTAATAATTTTCTTGCTTCTAGCATTACACCATAAATAAGCATGAGTAACAATTTTATCAATAACCTCTCCCGTATTTGGTTTTTTGAGGCCAAATAGACGAGCATCCCTAAAAACCCAAATATGCCACCACGTCACATAGAAAACTCCTTCCAAGTACTTCTTAGCGGTTCCATTAAGTCGTAACGTCAATAACCATCCCAACCAATCAGCATAAGAAAAAAAACTAGAATAAGCAGATTCCACAACCTGACAACCTAGATATGGAGCAACACATCCATGGAGCAGATAAAGCAAAAGGTGTGAAATAGACTCACTAGTCTCATCGCAAATAGGGCACAATAATCAAGGAATATCCAACCCCCAGCTATCAAGATTAACTCGAGGAGGTAATCTATCTAACGCCAACCGCCATACAAAAATATTAACCTATATTTTAATATTTTACTAAAATTACTTTACATCTTTTAATATTTCATAAGTTTAACTTATAATCTCCATTTAATTATCTAATGTTGATCTAGCGTAAAAGTTATGGCTATATCTCAATTTGAATATCAAGCGGTTACTATCGTATTTAAACAAGCTTTAAGTTTAAAACCATTAGCTTATCACATTCGAATCATAGAAAGGTTTTAAAGCATGTTATCGTGTCTTTTGACCTAATATAAGTCATTTAGAGACAAAATAGATTAAACTATTAGGCCATAGAGTTTATGGCTTTAATTTAGAAGTACGATGTCTTCATTTGTGCTTAAGTAAGCTTTTGAAGCATTAATACATTTAAATAATTAAGTTATTGATGAATGAAGATGTATCAACATGGTAAATTAAGTTATAGGTCTTATCATCTCTATAGAGATCATTTAGAAGATTTGTGGGAGGGAGGGAGCAAGGGGATCAAAGTATATTACCCTAAATTATCAACACCCACGTGTTATCCTTGTTAGGCATTACACGACCGTGTAATATGCAAGACATAAATTACACGACCCATGTAATTATCCATCGTTTTCTTAAAAATGTTATAACTTTTACTCTAGTGATCTATTTGACCTCAAACCACTTCCATTACTATTCTAACAGCTTAAGGAACATATTTAGCAAATAAAATAAGATTAAAACAATAAATTTAATTATGGTTTTGATTATTCACAATCATTTAGATAATTATGGGTGTAAACTTTAACTATAGATGACCACTACCCAACTATACAAGCATAAATGTGAAGTGAGCTTTGTTTTTTCATCTTAAGGTGTAACGACCCAATTTTCAAAAGAAAATTTCATTTTTAAATAGCCAAAAACACTTTCCATAAACCATAAAATCTCAAATACATTTGTATTCAAATTCATAACAATAACAATATTATTCCAATCATCAGAGTGTCCCATAAAAAGGCCTAAGAGAGAGTGTATGCCGCGTCATCAAACCTTGCCCTTGTCTAACATCCCATTTTTTCTTTAAATAACTAAATAGATAAAATTTAAATGAGTAGTAGCCCTAATGTGGAATAACTTAGCAAGGTGTTGGTCTTCGGGAGTTAAAAAGTCAATTTTAGAAGTTGGGGGTTAAAAGTGCAAGTTCTGGATTTAATTTGAAAAGGATTTCAGAAGTCAGGGTGCGTTTGGTAATTAATGGATTTAAATTGAAAAGATTTGAAGGCTTAGGGGGCTGATTGGTAATTTAGGGACCTATTATGAAAGGAATTTATGGGATCAGGGTTTAAATGGTAAATTGTAGCCTAATCTTGAAAAGAATTTGGGAAGGAGGGACCAAAGGTGTATATCGAATAAAAGTTGAAATGAGCGGGACATAACCCAGTGCCCACCCCCATGTCGCATCTCTAAACCCTAAGAGACCATTCCTTTTAGTCGTCGCCATTGATGTAGAAGTGCCCGCAGTCACCTGCTTGGTTGAGTCCGACCGCCGCACTACGCCTCCTCTACTTTGTCGCTGAGCACCACCACCATAGCCCCTGCTGTCGGTGACACCGTGCACGGCCAGGAGGACCACCGAGACCGGAGTTGAGCTGTGAACGGAGAAGAATAGGCTACGAACGACTAGAATATCCCGGTAAGACCATCTTCCACCTCTATCTTCTCTTATCCGTCCCTTTTTGTGCGTGTGCGACGTCAGACGCGCCACTGCTGTCGTCGGTGGCTTTTGGCCTCCATTTTCATGACTTTCCGGCAGCGTCAGCCGCATGGAAGGTGGATGGTAGGATGTATGTCTAGAATATATGTTGTTGTCGGTGTTGTTGTTATTGTATGAGTCGTTTTGGCCGGAAAATCAATGAAGGCCCGCCACCACCACCGTGAGGTGGTGGCTGCCACCGTTTTGTTGCCACTAGCCACCATCTCTTGTGGCTATGTGTGTACATTATGTGTGAAGTGGTATATGCGATTTTTGAGTCAAGATTTCAAGCCACCACCATTGGAAATGGTGGCCGCCGCCGCCTGTCGCCGCCGGTCACCACCGCCCGAGGTGGCAGTGGGTGGTGCCCGACATAGTGGAACCCTAATTGGCACAATTGCTTAATCTTGGACTGGGTTGGCTCATGATTGGGATAGAAACCCTAATTAGGGTTTAGAAAACCCTAATTTTGGGTTTGTTGGTTTGGACCTTTTGGGACCCGCATTTGGACCAATGGACTGAAGTTATGACTCATGTCGATTCCATTGTATGATGGCTTAGTGGAATAATGGACTTAATAGGTTAAGTCCTTAATGGGTTAAGTAAGAACACTTAACCCTAATCATCATTTCATGTGAAAACCCTAATTGTATTGGGTTTTGAATTGGGCTTTTTCTGTTGGGCCTAGATGTTTGGGCTATTGATGGACCATCCAAGAACAAGTATAAGGACTAGAGTATTAGACTGGGCTATAAGATAAGGCCCATTGGACAGGCTTGGGCCCAAATTGGAAAATTGGGCCATAGATGAGCCATAACTAGGCCTTGATGATTATGAGATATTGTACCATCAGAATGTCAAGTGTTAGACCAAGAATAAATGGTTGGGCCTTAAGGCAAGACCATGTAGAGGTTTGGGCCCAATTTGGAAAATTAGGCCATAGTTGGGCCTTGGTTGGCTATTGGTATTTTGGGCATTCAGATTATGAGTTGGGCCTTGGTCTTGGACCAGGCTATGTTAGGGGTAAATGGTCCTTTTACCCCAAGTGTGTATTTTAGAGTTATGCATTGGAAACCCAAATGGTTAATTGGGTTTTATTTTGATGTTGTCAGTCTAGGGATCTGTCAGCTAGCAGCTAGAGATTTATTCGCGGGACTCCAGCAGTGCGAGGTGAGTCCTCTTCCAGTAGGAACGGGTCTAAGGCACCAATGCCGCCCTGTGTAGTTTATATGTTCTTGATAGGAACACAGAGTGTGGTCGGGGCCCGTATCTCATTATTACCAGAGTCTAGATATCAGTCAGATTGTTGGATTGCTATACTTGTTGTTTGTGTGATACATGTATGTGGTTGTTTATGTATGTGAGTGTGGGTGGGGCCCGTATCTCATTATTATTCGAGTGTGGGCGGGGACCGAATCTCATAGTAGCCGAGTATGGGTGGGGCCCGTATCTCATAGTATTATTCGAGTATGGATATGTGACTGTTTGATAGAATTAGATATACTTGTTGAATATGTGATACTTGTATGCATGTCAGTAGCTGAGTGTGGGCGGGGACCGAATCTCATAGTAGTCGAGTGTGGGCAGGGCCCGAATCCCGTAGTATTATTTGAGTAGAGTTATGTGCTTGT